CAGTGTGTTTGCTAATACTTTGAATTTTCATCTGCATTCGAAACCTGGAGTGGTCATCAAGCAGGCCCCAGCTGGCCCTTCCTTGCCCTAAGCCTCAGCTGCAGGTGCTGGACTCTGGACAAATGGCCCAGCCACTGAGGGTGCCAGGATGCCTGTCTCCCACAGCCTTCCCATCTCGCTGACCAGCAGGTTGACTTCATACCAACACCTCTGAAAGCACACTTCCTTTTGCCATGGCCTTTGATGAGCACACATTTTTCTCCTGCTTTTGCTTTTAGCACATCTACACTGTGTCTCTCTTTTTGGTTTCATGCATGTATAGCATGTGATACCCAGGTGCTTGTTATCATCTTCCAGCAATATTTTTCAAGGACATGTTTCACGATGGCTTTGTGTTAAACATTCCAGTCGATTTGAAGCTATGTTAGAAATTGTAATGTAAAATGTGTCAAAGTTTGTGTTCTGCCTGTATTTCCTGTTGTTTAATATATCTCTTTGTCTCTAAATTGATGTGTCATCTTCTCCTCTTTTGGAAATTCCCAGGATCAAACTGATACTATAATGTCCGAGCCATATGGATCCCCAGAATCTGCTCGGTCTCTAACTGGGACAGAGTCTGATTCCTCTTACGAGTCCAGCACGTGGGCCTTGGAAAGCGCATGTGCATCACCAGGTTGGTACATTTGGGCATTGGGATAGGGACTCTCAGAAGAGAACTAGTGACTTACTCGGGAGTCACAGTCTCTGAAATGAAGATCATGTTCTCTTTATAATGGTGTGAGGTCACTAGAGCGAGTTCTACATTTCTTCACCTTTGATCTAGTTTTGAATGTGATTTGAGAGCAATGAAAACTTAACCACAGTGGTAGACTCCTAGTGGATAGCATGTCTTTGAATTAGCTGATGTTCTCACTGAAACTTTGTGTTGCAGAATCTCCATATACAGAGGTGGTGCCCCTATTATTTATTTATGTCATTTTTCAAACAACTGACATATATTTGAGGTACAGTGTTATGTTGGCTTCTGGTGAGCAATGTCATGATTTGACAGCTATCTATATTATGAAGTGCTCACCACAATCAGTGTAGTTACCAGCTGTCACCCCAACCAAAGTTATTACAGTATTATTGGCTATATTTCCTATGCTGCACTCTTATCCCCATGACTTACTTATTTTGTGATTGGATATTTGTGCCTTTTGATCCCCTTCCCCTAATTCACCCTTCCCCCATGGCAATCTCCAGTCTGTTCTCTGTGTCTAAGAGTGTACTTCTGTTTTGTACCTCTGTCTTTGTTTTTAGATCCCACATATAAGTGAAATCAGACAAATACCTCTATTTTTCAAACCTGTATGTAACAACCTTTTCATTACTGCTGTCAATCTCAAAGCTTTGCTTAAAAACATCCTTTCAAAACAACTGATTTTGGTGGGAGGGGGACAAAGTCCATGAACTCATGATTGTGATTTCTGAAATGCATAAAAGCAATTTAGTTTTAAATGTGCACCCAGTAAAATTCACTCTTGGGGGGTGCACAGTTCTGTGGATTTGGCAAAAGCAGAGTCCTGTATTCACCACCCCAGTAGCAGACAGAACACTTCTTTCATCCCCCAAATCCCTTTGTGCTGCTTCTCTGGACTCAAGCTCTGTCCCCATCCTCTGGCAGCCATTGATCTGCAGTCCACCTCTGGTTTTCTTTTTCCAGAATGTCATGTACATGGAACCATACAGTATCTAGCCTTTTTGGTCTAGGCTGTTTCTCAAGCCTAGATAAATAAAATGCATGTGAGATATATATCCATATTACATCGATAAGTGGTTCCTTTCTTCTTCCTGAGTAGTACTGCATACATAAATGTGCCACAGTTGTGGTCCACTCATCTACAGAAGGACATCTAGGTTGTTTCCAAGTATTTTGTGATTACAAAAAAAGCTATTATAAACATTTGCACAGGGTTTTTTCTTGGCGTTAATATAAATTTTTTATGCACTTGGATACATTCTTGGGAGTTGGGACTACAGGGTCCTTTGGGAAGTATGTGTGAAAAAGCTGCCAACCTCTTCCAAAATGACTCAGCCATTTGCATTATTCAACTCATGCTCCCCACTTTGCTTTTTTGGGCTGCTGAATGAGAGTCAAGACACAACACCTCCAAGGGCACTTCAAGACTCCTGAGATCCCCACATTCTGAGGAACCTGGCTTTTTAGAAGTGATTCATGACTAGGTTTACTTTGATTTTATCAGTTGGTAGGAACCAAACTTCCAGAAGCAGAGCCAAAAGAATTTTAAAATGAAAAGACACTTAGTATGAATGGATTGGTGTACCCTCTTGTGCTTGAGTGGATGGAGGTAAAGTCAAGCACTCCCTCTTTTTTCTTCAAATATGAACAGATTTCTAAGTAATGTTCTGAATTATTCCTGGTTCCTGGCACATTAAGCCTTAACATGGAATTAAACTGGACTCTCTTGTTTTATGACTTATAAAAGAAATTAAAAAGAAATTTGTGCAATCTCTTCAACAATGTTGGTATTTTTACTTTTTGGTCATGAATTCCATGTTGCTTTCTTCCTCAGATGTATCACCTTTGTACAGCCTTGAATTTGAAGATGAGCTGGGGCAGGTGGAAGACCTGGACCAGATGGATGAGATGGAGGAGGTGCCGCAGGTGGACGAGGAGATGGAGGAGGAGGAGGAGGACCAGGCTAGCCATATGGATCCCCAGAATCTGCTCGGTCTCTAACTGGGACAGAGTCTGATTCCTCTTACGAGTCCAGCACGTGGGCTTTGGAAAGCGCATGTGCATCACCAGGTTGGTACATTTGGGCATTGGGATAGGGACTCTCAGAAGAGAACTAGTGACTTACTCGGGAGTCACAGTCTCTGAAATGAAGATCATGTTCTATTTATAATGGTGTGAGGTCACTAGAGCGAGTTCTACATTTCTTCACCTTTGATCTAGTTTTGAATGTGATTTGAGAGCAATGAAAACTTAACCACAGTGGTAGACTCCTAGTGGATAGCATGTCTTTGAATTAGCTGATGTTCTCACTGAAACTTTGTGTTGCAGAATCTCCATATACAGAGGTGGTGCCCCTATTATTTATTTATGTCATTTTTCAAACAACTGACATATATTTGAGGTACAGTGTTATGTTGGCTTCTGGTGAGCAATGTCATGATTTGACAGCTATCTATATTATGAAGTGCTCACCACAATCAGTGTAGTTACCAGCTGTCACCCCACCCAAAGTTATTACAGTATTATTGGCTATATTTCCTATGCTGCACTCTTATCCCCATGACTTACTTATTTTGTGATTGGATATTTGTGCCTCTTGATCCCCTTCCCCTAATTCACCTTTCCCCCAATTCACCCTTCCCCCATGGCAATCTCCAGTCTGTTCTCTGTGTCTAAGAGTGTACTTCTGTTTTGTACCTCTGTCTTTGTTTTTAGATCCCACATATAAGTGAAATCAGACAAATACCTCTATTTTTCAAACCTGTATGTAACAACCTTTTCATTACTGCTGTCAATCTCAAAGCTTTGCTTAAAAACATCCTTTCAAAACAACTGATTTTGGTGGGAGGGGGACAAAGTCCATGAACTCATGATTGTGATTTCTGAAATGCATAAAAGCAATTTAGTTTTAAATGTGCACCCAGTAAAATTCACTCTTGGGGGGTGCACAGTTCTGTGGATTTGGCAAAAGCAGAGTCCTGTATTCACCACCCCAGTAGCAGACAGAACACTTCTTTCATCCCCCAAATCCCTTTGTGCTGCTTCTCTGGACTCAAGCTCTGTCCCCATCCTCTGGCAGCCATTGATCTGCAGTCCACCTCTGGTTTTCTTTTTCCAGAATGTCATGTACATGGAACCATACAGTATCTAGCCTTTTTGGTCTAGGCTGTTTCTCAAGCCTAGATAAATAAAATGCATGTGAGATATATATCCATATTACATCGATAAGTGGTTCCTTTCTTCTTCCTGAGTAGTACTGCATACATAAATGTGCCACAGTTGTGGTCCACTCATCTACAGAAGGACATCTAGGTTGTTTCCAAGTATTTTGTGATTACAAAAAAAGCTATTATAAACATTTGCACAGGGTTTTTTCTTGGCGTTAATATAAATTTTTTATGCACTTGGATACATTCTTGGGAGTTGGGACTACAGGGTCCTTTGGGAAGTATGTGTGAAAAAGCTGCCAACCTCTTCCAAAATGACTCAGCCATTTGCATTATTCAACTCATGCTCCCCACTTTGCTTTTTTGGGCTGCTGAATGAGAGTCAAGACACAACACCTCCAAGGGCACTTCAAGACTCCTGAGATCCCCACATTCTGAGGAACCTGGCTTTTTAGAAGTGATTCATGACTAGGTTTACTTTGATTTTATCAGTTGGTAGGAACCAAACTTCCAGAAGCAGAGCCAGAAGAATTTTAAAATGAAAAGACACTTAATATGAATGGATTGGTGTACCCTCTTGTGCTTGAGTGGATGGAGGTAAAGTCAAGCACTCCCTCTTTTTTCTTCAAATATGAACAGATTTCTAAGTAATGTTCTGAATTATTCCTGGTTCCTGGCACATTAAGCCTTAACATGGAATTAAACTGGACTCTCTTGTTTTATGACTTATAAAAGAAATTAAAAAGAAATTTGTGCAATCTCTTCAACAATGTTGGTATTTTTACTTTTTGGTCATGAATTCCATGTTGCTTTCTTCCTCAGATGTATCACCTTTGTACAGCCTTGAATTTGAAGATGAGCTGGGGCAGGTGGAAGACCTGGACCAGATGGATGAGATGGAGGAGGTGCCGCAGGTGGACGAGGAGATGGAGGAGGAGGAGGAGGACCAGGCAGAGGAGGAGGACCAGGTGGAGCAGGAGGACCAGGTGCAGGAGGAGGAGGACCAGGCGGAGCAGGAGGACCAGGTGGAGCAGGAGGACCAGGCGGAGGAGGACCAGGTGGAGGAGGACCAGGTGGAGCAGGAGGACCAGATGGAGGAGGAGGACCAGGTGGAGCAGGAGGACCAGGCGGAGGAGGACCAGGTGGAGCAGGAGGACCAGGTGGAGCAGGAGGATCAGGTGCAGGAGGAGAGGATCAGGTGGAGCAGGAGGACCAGGTGCAGGAGGAGGAGGACCAGGTGCAGGAGGAGGAGGACCAGGTGCAGGAGGAGGAGGACCAGGCGGAGCAGGAGGACCAGGTGGAGCAGGAGGATCAGGTGCAGGAGGAGAGGATCAGGTGGAGCAGGAGGACCAGGTGCAGGAGGAGGGGGACCAGGTGGAGGAGGAGGACCAGGCGGAGCAGGAGGACCAGGTGGAGGAGGAGGACCAGGCGGAGCAGGAGGACCAGGTGGAGCAGGAGGAGGAGGACCAGGCGGAGGAGGAGGACCAGGCGGAGCAGGAGGCCTTTTCACCCTCCAGCATGGCTGTTAGCAGCAGTGTTGAGGTACTTCTAGGAGTCTTGCCCCACACATTTGAATGGACCACTAACCCTGCAAATCCCTGTGGGGGCCTGGCCTACGGCCGAGGCTGAGCCCCACTCTAGCTGGATGACGCCTGCTTCCTGCTCACCACCCTTTCCCCTCTTCCCTGTTGGGGATTGGCCCAGCAGACTTCCGTACCCGTGCACAGCTCGTGCTGCCCGCTTAGAGTGGCGCGTGACATCTATCCGCTTAAAGGTCACGCATGATACTGTCCCGGATTGGTTGGGTGACTGAATATAAGGGAGCCCGCTGGGAGGGAAAAAAGCTGCCCGACAACTGCTGTACCGCCGTGAGAGATTAGACAATAAAGCCTAGAGAAGAATCAAGACCTTGGGCGTGTTGCTTCGGTCCTTGAAGGGTCGCGACAATCCCCGAGTCTCCACTCTTTTGCCCAATTTCACTTTGCAGAAAGTGCTCTTTTCATCTCTTTTGACCTGTATCACCATTTCTGTTGTACTGGGTTTTCAGATGCCACTGATGATCCAGTGGGTCCTCGCAAACAGGGAGGTTGGAGTTTCTCTGGGAAAGACCAGATCCCTGTTCCACTTAATGTGAAATACGCAGGCACTTTGTGCTTGAGAGACGGTTTGAGCCAGATAGGAAGCTTAACTACTAAGATGGTATTTTTAAGGGCCATGCTCCCATCACTTCTGAGGGAATGCTGACTGTCTCAAGGGACGATGGCTTTCCTGACTACCCATATCTACACCTGTCCACCACAAGCTAGGTTTTCCCAGTGGAACTCTTATTAGGTTAGAACCATGCCTTTCAGAATATTAGATACACACAATCTTCAAATGTCAGCACCAGTATTCGGTCCGAGACCAAATCAAAACAGTTAGATTAACTACTCTGCTGCTCCTCTACCCTTGACATTTGTGTACATAATCACAGATCTGGACAATCATCTTTTTTAGTAGAGGGGATTATTACTATGTGGATTGGCAGCCAAGATAATGAGTTGATGTTGGTCTGTTCTGTGGAATTGTATGCATTAACTACCAAGTGTAAGACTAGTTACTCCATTCCTAATGGCAAGGGCATCCGTTCCTGATGAACAGACCCACAGGCCAGGAGGCCATGTTTGAGTCCAGCCCCAGCAGGGTGGCCTTGAGGCCACCCTGAGTCTCAGTGTCTCCATCTTGAAATGGTCTGCCTACCTTGCTGGCATGTTTGCACTGCTAGCAATACATTTACAAGAAGCAGCTTGGATGTTTTCTCTCTCTTTTCACAACTCTTCTATGTGCTTCCATTAACCGTAAAGGGGTTGAAGGCTCATAGTGTGGTAGGATAGAGAGTGTTGGTTTTGTTCTCTAATCATTGCTCGTATGTGCACCTTTGTCTCGTCAGGTTAATGTTGGGCTCTCTCCTCTTGTTTATGTACACAGTGTATGGCACAGATCAAGGCAAACAAGAGTTGTTTCTCATTTGACAGACACTTATTTTCCAAGAAACCTACCTCTTTCCCATCCCCCTCAGCCAATCAGTTGAGAAGTCCTACCCACTGTCTTAATTCCTCTCCAATACATCCCTTCCTTCCCATGCCTCCTGTCTATGGTCTGTTGCAGGTCCCTGTTTTCTCTACCTTGAGTCACCTCCACAGCCTCCTGACCAGCTTCTGTCTGGCTCCAGGCCCACTCTCTCCCATTAGTTCATCTTCCATACCGCTATCAGCAGGCATGTTGTCTGCCATGGCTGTGAGCATGTCACTTCCCCGATCAGGCCTGTGTTTTAGACTACTCCTCGCCACAGCAGCACAAGGTGGCTGATGAAGAGAAACCTGAATGTGGATGGTCTGCACACAGGTCTTTCCCACTTCTCTCCCACGTGTGGTCTGTCTCATCGCCTCTGCTCCAGCCTACCTGAAGCATCACTTTGTCTCCCAACACTCCTTCCTTCTACAGACTTATACATTTGTTTGTTTCCAGACCTGAGGCTGTTACTCAGGTTAAAACGAGATTTCCAGGGCCCAGAGGAGAGCATGCCTCCAAGCACTGTGACCGTGTGGGCAGCGTCTACTTTAGAAGGCAGCGTTACGGTCAGGTCTGTGACTGCCTGTGAAGTGCTCTGGGATGATAGAGAGAATGCCTGTGCCTTCTTCTGCGCTCTGCATTGCTAACGGGCAGCCAGGGGGAGGTGTTCCACAAGCTTCAGTGATGACCTGACCTGCTGTCCTCTGACTCTTCCAGTAAGGACTTTGGGCAGGTTGCTTCACATCTCTGGGACAATGCTGCAGCTTTATGTTTAGGGGAAAATCAGACTAAATGATCCCCATGAGCCACTTCTGATGTAGAATTTTTGGATTCTCTAACCATTTCTTCAAACTTTCTAGTAATTCATGAAATCAGCAGTGGAGGGCCATTGTTTGCTTTCTCTGTGTGAAACAATATGGTAGGATTTGGTGAGCCCAGTGTCCCTATATATGAACCATAAGCGATTTCTCCCCACAGATATTACAACCACCACCATCAATTACATCGTACATCAGAAGACGGGAACTGAAACTGATGAGGAAGTTCAGGAAACAGCTAGATGAAAAGACTAGGATGCTGCAGGCTGACATAAAAAAACATCAGGATGCACTGGAAATGATAAACAGGCAGCTTCAGGCAATGCAGGAATCCAAGTTTCAGGTAAGGGGCAACCAGTTCCTTGTAAGTGGCAGGAGGGAGAGGAGAAAGGGACCTTGATAAATCTTTGAGGAGTTGGTCTGTAGGACCTGTTAGAAGTGACAGCTGATGTCCCAGGGGAGCGTGGGACATCCGCAGTGATGTTCAGCATGGACTAAGGGCTCTCCTCCTTTTTCTCTTGGCTGCTGGAGCTGAGGGGGGCCCAGCCAGGCTCCGGCCGTGTCAGATGTGGCTCCGTGTAGCCAAGGCTTCCTTTGGGCTTGCCTGGAGACTGTCTTGCTCCATGCCCAGCATGTCTTGTGGTCTAAGGAAACATTCGGCCCCTGGATAAGACCTCTCTTGTCTTGTATCCTTACAGATGCAGCCAGCCCCCACCTATCACGGTGACAGGCCTGAGCCTCAGTCTTTGGAGCCAGCGCCCAAGAAACGACGCACTGAGGAGATGAAGAGGATGTCCCCAGACCTCAAGGAGCCTGAGTGTGTGAGTCGTTCACATTCATTCTACTCTTTCACATTCCCTATGGAGCCCGAGGAGCCTTGTGATGACTCCATCGGGGTATGGAGGCCTGTTTTCACTTTGTAGCTGAAAGGGGACTTCATTTTCATAAACATCTGGGCTCCCCTGGTTCTCCTGAGGCAGTATTGGCTGGTCAGTTGGCTGAAATTCATTTGCCTGAGATAAAAAAATCCCAACTAGACCTGGACACACACAGACATGTCCCTGCTCACACATGGGATAACAGTGTCTCACAGCCAGGGTGTGGCTGGGACCAGTGCCCAGCCAAACAGGTGGACACTCATCCAGACCACTAGGCCCAGAGAGGCAGGCTGACTGTGGTGTTGGCTTTGGGAGAAGGGGGTGGGAGCGTTTACTGAGTTTCTGGGAAGCTCTCACAGACACTGAAAGCCCTTTTGTCTCTCTTCCTCTGGCAGAAGCAGGAACAATACTCGCTGCAGCAGCTGCAACAGATGCAGAAGCAGCAGATTCAGCAGCCGCAGCAGTGGCAGCACCTGCCCCTCTATGATGACTGCACTAGTTATGCAGACGCAGCCCGTGTCAGCAGCTGAGCAGCAGTGCTCTGGCCAGGAAGATGAGAGACAGAGGTAGGAAGTGCATGGAATGCTGATACAGGCCGAGGTCACTGCCCTTACAACTGACACCGTGCCTGAGACTGTGGCTAATATGCCCACAAGGCACCAGAACCCCCCTCATCCAAAGCAGCATGCTTCCATTCATCTGGCTCTGTGGCCGCTGGCCCCCTGCCTCTGCATGCACAGTGCTTGGCCAGGAATGCACTGGTGGCACAGGGATGTCTACATGAAAATAGAAGGCTGCCCAAGGAAGCCTCCCAGCTAGGGGCTTAGCATGCAGATTGGGAAATCCCTCAGCGTCATCCACCCAAGCCCAGTCTTTTGGCCCAGGGTGCTTATGGGGAAGTCCTGAGTCTCAGCTTCCTTCTCCCACTCCACTGGGATCTGGTCAGCACATTAGACCAAGTGAAGGCTAAGGCCAAAAGAAGGAGTTTTTACACTTTAAGTGGCTAAAGGTGTGATTATTTTTACACATACACCTTGACCTGCTGGCCACAAGTCCCCCAGAGAGGTGATCCATGAGAGGGACTGCCCATATGAAGAGGTCAGGCGGTCAGTGGGCCGTGTGGCTCAGACACAGACAGCCTGTGGCGAGACCCTTCCCCCGGTCTTCTCCCAAGTTGCTTGCCCTGGCCTGGGCCCTGGGAGGCAAAGCCAAGACAGAGCTGGGCAGGGGTCCCGGGGCAGAGGGAAGGGGACTGGGCCCAGGAGTGAGTCAAGAGAATGTAGCACACAGCTGAGGGCAGTCCTCTGTGGGTGACCTTCCCCGTCCACAGGACTGCAGAGGCTCCCCACACCCTGCCCTGGCGCACCCTCATCAGCCCTGGGTCCTCCTGGCCCAGGTCCCTAGACGCCTCCAGCTTTCTGTCTGTAGCCCAGCCCTATCCCTTCTGCACACTCTGCCTTCTCGCCCTTGAGTCCCACTTGTTGAAATCATACAAAACTCAACCCAAGGGATCCCTCCTTCCCAAACAGAAAAGTCCCCCGCAGTCTGTTCTTTGTCACACCATCTTTGTGTGTGTCCCTCTTCCCCCTGCACATCCCGGACTGGGTCGACACCTCTCCTGTCACTTGTTCAGGCAGGCCAGCTAGTTGCCAGTCAGGCCCACGTGGAGTTTACCTGACCAGAGCAGAGTGAAGGCAGCACGGTCCAAGGGCAGGTGGGGAAGAGACCTGCAGAGGCCTTGGCTGGCCACAGCTGGCAGAGAAGCTGGGCTGGGGAGGGCCAGATGTGGGACCCAGTAGACTCAGGCGTTAAGACCACCTTGGGTGAGCTAAGGCTGCTTCTGTTGCTCTTTAAGTCAAGATGCTATTGGGAGGCAGCAGCAGGAAGGAAGCCCATTGTCCCCAGTTCTACCTTCTACCAACTCCTCACAGACTTGTGTTCCAAACAGGTGCTTCTCCACAGCTTGCTGACTTGAACTGAAGGGGTCCTCCCACCACCCCAAAACAAGCCCAGGAACTCTAGCAGAAAACTCCACGCTGTCCCCCTTTTTCCCAACAGGTGCCAGGTCCTGAGGCAGGAGCCCAGGAACCTCTAGACCTATAGGCTCCCCAGGACCCTGCTGACTTTCCACCAGGCTCCATCAACTGTTTGGCATGTGCAGGCCAGTCTGATGTGGAGCAGCCTTAGCACAGACCCTGTGAGAAGAGGGGGAGACAGTACTGCACAGCCTGCCTGGCCAGGGGACCTTCAAGGCTCGGGGAGTCCCCAGGAGTAGGGGCTAGCAGGGTGAGAGTGGATACTCTTCACTGCTTAATAAAATT